ACAAAAATGACCGTTATCTCTGAAGAGCTGAAGGATATGTATTTGTTCCTCCCAGCAGGAAGATTTGCAGTACTGTAAGACTCAATTTTCCCCAGAGGACGCTCTTAATCAAATTAATTAAATTTATTTTGGTATTCTGGATGAAAATTGGCAGAAAATGTCAATTTTGGCTTCTTCTACATTGTCCAAATAAAATGCAAAATTAAGAAATAGTTACTGTAGTCATATATACATGCGTGGATATTGCTCACCATTCAAATACTTCGAATTTTTCCTCCTTTTTTAGTAGAATTAAATAAAATGTTTCCAAAAAAGGTTTGCTTTATTCGAATTTTAGTGTGGGAATTCTTCAAAGGAGTACTATGGGAAAAAGATTCTTGACTGCCCTTGTAAAAGTGTCCCTCTGTGATAGGGATTTACATTTTTGAACAATGTATGCTATTTTTGTTGAAAACTAGCATTAGGACAAATATCCAAAAAAGTAGCTGATTTTCCTTCCCTGCCATTGCATTAATTGTAACTGCCCTTTTAAACTCCATGCAGTTAAGGCTATGGTGTCAGAAATGTAATTCACAAATATTTCCTTTAAAAATGAAATGTAATAGCCACATACGATATTCTATTCATTTGTGTGTATCTGTACTTTAGGAATGAGTATGGAATGAGATAATTTTGCTTTGAAAACCATAGCGTGAAATAATAACCAAGTTTTTATTGCTATTCCTTTTTTAACTATAACTTATCAACAGCTTGAGAATACTTTTTACTTACATTTTAGCAAACAGGTCTTTCTTATCAAAAGCGAGAACAACAAAGGCATTATTTGTGCTCCTGAATAATGGAGCTACCATTCCTGTGGCTGGACTGTAGACAGCCACACACTGGCAACTCCACAAAATAGAGGAGTATTTGTGTTTCTTGTTTCTATTTGTTTTCTAGGTTATTACTGCGGTTATTTGCCCCTTTCTCTCAGATATTTGAGAGCAGAAAGGAAAGGTGAACGATGAAGACTCAGCTGCTGTAACTGTCTGCACTGTAATGAAATTCTGTTATCCCACAACTTGGTTCTCGTTCTCTCCCAAACATAACTAACAAATATTTACCAAACAGGTGATTAAAATCAGTACGCAATGGAACAGAAAAAAAGAGGCTAACATATACCCACACATATATGGACAATTAATTTTTGACAAAGGTACAAAGGTAATTCAGTTGAGAAAGGACTGTCTTCAACAATTAAAGCTAGAACAATTAGATATATATATGTGAAAAAAATTCAATCCATATCTTGTACCACATACAGAAATAGATCATATCTAAATATAAAACCTAAAAGTGTAAAACTTCTAAAGAAAGTAGAAGCATATCTTTGTGACTTTGGGCTAGGCAAAGATTTCTTAGAGATGATACCAAAAGCATGGTCCATAAAGGAAAAAAAAAAGATGATAAATTGGACTTCATCAAAATTGCTCACCAAACTTCTGCTCTTTGAAAAACTGTGGAAGGCACTATTAAGAAGATGAAAAGAAAATCCACAGATTGGGAGAAAATATTTGCAGAGCTTATATCTGATAAAATACTTGTATCCAGAGTACATAAAGAATTCTCAAAACTCAACAGTAAGATGACAACCCAATAGAAAAATGGGCAAAATACAAACAGACACTTCACCAAAGAAGATATGTGGATGGTAAATCAGTACATAAAAAGATGTTCAACATCATTAGTCATTAGGAAAATGCAAAGTAAAACCATAATGAGATACTACTGCACACCTATTAAAATGACTAAATTTAAAAAGATTGACCATACTAAGTGTTGACACTCGTCATGGGAATGCAAAATTGTACCGCTTTGCCAAACAGCTAATTTCTTAAAAAGTTAAACAAACACATACCATGTGATTCAGTGTTTCTACTCCTAGGTATTTTTCTAAAAGAAATGAAAGTATATGTCCATACAAAGACTTATATAGAAATGAACATAGCAGCTCTGTTCATAGCAGCCCTAAACTCAAAACACAAATGTCTATCAATAAATTGTGGTATATCCAAGTAATGGATAACTATTCAGCAACAAAATAGGAAAATGACTCTTCATGCACATAGTGACATGGATGAATCTCAAAATAATTGTGCTAAGTGAAAGAAGACAAGTAAAAAGAGGAATATATTACATTATTCCATTTATATAACATCCTAGAAAATACAAACTAATCTACAGAAACAGAGATCTTTATTATAATTTTTATTTATTAGATTTTATTTACTAATAAAAATAAATATATTTTTAAAAATCTGGATCCATAACTCATTTCTTACTCCAAAATACTAACTCCTGATGGTACAAAGTTTAACTTATATATCAAACCATTAAAGTGCTATAAAAATATAAGAGCACTCATTAAAAAAAAGATGTCCATCATTTTAAATGAAAATAAGTTGTAGAATAATATTTGTCATAACTCTATTGATTTAAATTATTTTCATAGTATATGTTTTGATTTAAATTATGAAATAAAAGTATAAGCATCCAATAAGTTTTATTAACCATTATATCACCATCCTCTACCACATGCGTTTGGCATATGGCAAGCACCACAACCTATTAGTTGAATGACTAAATGAACTCTTATGCTTTGTTGGTGGGACTGTAAATTGTGATAACTTTTCTGGAGAGAAGTTTGGCAATATGTATCAAAGAATAAAATGAGCATACAATTTATTCTGGCCCTCTCATTTCTAGGAACTCATCCCATGAGTAATATTCACAAGTGCATACAGTACGTATCCAGGGCTAATTTTTTTAAAAACAGGAAAAAAATATTTATGTTAGTGGAGAGATGGTGTGGGAAATAGCTGCCCTACAACAGGAATCTGGTTAAATAAATTAAGGCAAATATTTCCATGGAATATGTGTCTATTTCAAAATAAGATGTTGATTATTTACCATGAAAATATAGCCACAACTAATTGATAAGTGAGCAGATTACAAAATATAATATAATGTTACATAGATAAAACAGTATATATAAATAGGCAGATGTGTATATGTACAAAGAAATTTCTGGAAGGAAATGCATCAAAATGCTAATAATGATTATCGTTTAGTTGTTAAGATTGTGTATTTTTACTATCATTGGAATTTTCTATATTGTATTTTTTCTTTAAAACGCTTATATATTTTCACAATCAGAAATAAACAATAAAAGTAAATTCATTTACAAAATAGAAAACGTGTTTCATAGCTTTTTATAAAATACATGACTAAATGACGAAGCACAAATCCTATAATAAAAAAGTAACATAAAAGTTCATCTAATATTTCTCCTCATTTGAAATAAATAATTCATCATATTTTGTATTTTAATTTACTACTTGTATTCTATAAGTCGGTCTAGATAGTGAATGCGATTAATTAGGCTATTTTCTACATTAGTATGTCAAATCACCTCTGTAGATTTTTCTCCTTCCATAGAAATATCAAGACATCTTCCAATTAAGTCTTTAAAAGACTATATTCTGTGAAATTTTATTCAAATACAGGTAGGTAATTCTTGTCATTCATAAAAATGGGCTAAATATGTTCCTTACCTTTCAATGAAAAGTAAACACTGGTCTTTTTGGTTCTACCAAGGGAGTTGTTCTGTAGCAGAAAAGAATCCTGTAAATAAAAATAACAGATACTTGTTTTTAAACTCATTTTGCAAAAGTTTATTCACATATTACTGGACTTGTAAATCATACTTTAGTATGGCTAGAATTTTACAATGCTAGAAGGAAATTGGTGGTACATGACACCGTGAAGTAGACGCTGACAGAGGATGCACTTTCATCAGCACAAATTCCCCCTCCCATTCCGCTGTTTGTGGAACTGAAAACTGCTGCACAGATGTATAGAGCAAACCTTCTGCTTTTCAATAATACTACCTAACATTTGAATGCCCTTTTATTTTATCTGCAAGGTTTGAAGGGTTACGTGGCAAGTCAGCACGGTTGGGGTACATTTTACGCCAGCTTAAAGAGAGAAATATAGTAAAAATGGTGCAACTGACTCACGGCAACATGGGCTCGCAAACCTTGAAGATGGATAGAAACCAGGCTTGCCAAACATCACAGACAGCACTTACTAAAACTGCGACGTGGAATGCCATGCGCCTGCTTTCGAGCCCCTCCCCCCTTTGCCAATAAACGACTCTCCTTTCTTTTCCAATGTAAAAATACATGCTCATAGAATATTTAGACAAAAGAGATTTTTTAAAAAAATCATCCATAATCACACTACCCAATGATGCCATTTAGAGTATTCCAATTTTTTAAAAACAAGATTTTTGTCAAGAGGCCCCTGACAAACCAATCGGGAATTGAGGATGAGCGGATGGGAGAAAGATACTCCTCTTCCCCTGTTAGAGGCTATGGCTAGTATTTTTACCTAATATCTAAGCTTTTTTTGGAAGTATAAAACTATAAAGATAGAATTTTGAGTGGAAAAAACGTCTTCCAGGGGTGTGTGCCTCAGCTACCAAGGAGCGTCTGGGAAGGCGGGCGGAGCCTGAAGGGGGCGGTGCGTTTGGTCATTCATTGGGCTTAGGGGCTGTCAATCAAGCTTGCCCAGCAAATGAGGTGCGAGCTAAAGGCACACTGGGAACTAAATTAACGGGAGGTCTGACTGCGAGGGGAGGGGGCTGGCGATCTAAACTGCGAAGAGAACTTTGGGGTCTCGCACCGCGCTCTTGGGCTGCGGCGCGCCTCTCTCCGCCACAGCTGCAGCCTGGAGAGGCCTTGCCATCGCCGCTCTCGCTCAGGCCTCCGCTGCCGCTGTCACCTCAGCGCGATCGCCGCAGCCCAGCCCCGCCCCTAGCTACTGCTGCCTCCGCCGCTGCCACCTCCTCAGCCTGGACCGCCGCCGCCACCCATGCATCCGTGAGTCATTTTCTGCCCATCTCTGGGCGCGCGGTCTCAGCGGTAGTCACCACCTTAAGAGGTTTGCAGGCTTGCAAAATGGCAGAAGCGGATCTTAAGGTGGTCTCGGAACCTGCCGCGCAGGGGTTTGCTGAAGAGATGATGGCTAACTCCTCTAGCGATACTGGGGAAGAGTCTGACAGCAGTAGCTCGAGCAGAAGCACTAGTGGCAGCAGCAGTAGCCGCGGCCGCTTATATAGAAAGAAGAGGGTATCTGGGCCTTCCAGAAGGGTGCGACGGGCTCCGTCGGGTAAAAATTTCTTGGATCGGCTGCCCCCGGCAGTTAGAGATCGTGTGCAGGCGCTCCGAAATATTCAAGATGAATGTGACAAGGTAGACGCTCAGTTCTTAAAGGCAATTCACGATCTCGAAAGAAAGTATGCAGAACTCAGTAAGCCTCTCTATGATCGGCGATTTCAAATCATCAATGCAGAATATGAACCTACAGAAGAAGAATGTGAGTGGAATTCGGAGGATGAGGTGTTCAGCAGTGACGAGGAGGTGCAGGAAGACAGCCCTAGTGAAATGCCTGCCTTAGAAGGTGAGGAAGAAGACGACCCTCAAGAAAAACCCGAAGAAACGCCTGGAGAAAATGAGGTTCCTAACGACATTCCTGAGGCAAAGACTGAAGAAAAAGCAGAGTCTAAAGATTTTCTGGAGGGAAAGCCTGGAGTAAAAGAAGATCCTAAAGAAGTCCCCCAGGCAATGTCAGGAAGCAAAGAACAGCCTAAGGCAACAGAGGCTAAGGCAAGGACTGGAGTGAAAGAGGCTCCTAAAAGAGTTCCTGAAGTCAGGCCTCAAGAAAGAGTGAATCTTAAAAGAGCTCGGAAGGGAAAGCCTAAAAACGAAGATCCTAAAGGCATTCCTGACTACTGGCTGACTGTTTTAAAGAATGTTGACAAGCTCGGGCCCATGATTCAGAAGTATGACGAGCCTATTCTGAAGTTCTTGTCAGATGTTAGCCTGAAGTTCTCAAAACCTGGCCAGCCTATAAGTTACACATTTGAATTTTGTTTTCTACCCAATCCGTACTTCAGAGATGAGGTGCTGACCAAGACATATATAATAAAGTCGAAACCAGATCACGATGATCCCTTCTTCTCTTGGGGATGGGAAATCCAAGATTGCAAAGGCTGTAAGATAGACTGGAGGAGAGGAAAAGATGTTACCGTGACAACCACCCAGAGTCACAGAGCTGCTACTGGAGAAATTGAAATGCAGCCAAGAGTGGTTTCTACTGCATCATTCTTCAATTTCTTTAGCCCTCCTGAGATTCCCCAAATCGGAAAGCTAGAACCACGAGAAGATGCTATCCTTGATGAGGACTTTGAAATTGGTCAAATTTTACATGATAATGTCATCTTGAAATCAGTCTATTACTATACAGGAGAAGTCAACGGTACCTATGTTGATGGTAAACATTACAGAAACAGAAAATATCGAAAATAAAAAATAGGCCCTCTGAAAGAATTTTTAAGAATCTCAAAACTTCATGCAGAATGAAGCAGGTTTATATGGCACTGTCGGGGTGGGGGTGGGGGACCTGCCCTATAACCTCAACAGTAGTATTCCTTACAGTCTGGTGTTTTTGTATTTTCTTGGTAGTTAAAACATTGTCTAAAAGTGTCTTAAGTATCAGTTTATTCTATCTAGCCTGTTGTAGTGTAATATTCTTCAAAATATGTAAACTGCTGTCAGTTATCTAAAGCATGTTAGTTTGGTGCTACAGAGTTTTGATTTTTGTGAAGTCTCTGTCATGTTCCTACCAGCATATAGCTATGAAAACTGTCAGAATTGTTAACTGAGACAAATAGTTGCTTGAAAAAAAAACCAAAGTTCCTGAAGTATCAATGCAAGTGTTTTTTTTTTTCTTTTTCCGGCCCTGAAAATTTAGGGTTTAAATATGCTTGCACTAGCTGTGCCTTCATTACTTTGTTATAGAAATACAGTACTTATACTAACTAGAACAGTGCATTGTGAAATTTAATTGCTTGAAAAAAGATTAGCATACATTTAAGAATGTCCATCAAGACCATATATGATATGACTGTGAGCTTGTTTATGTGACATAGTGGTCTATGAATTTAATCATAATGAAGTTATTGTTTACTGCCAAGGTGTTAATATGACATAGTACTTAATATGTTTTCTCATCTTATACTGTGTAATTGTAAACTCAAGTTACTAACCATGTTTTCTTTGTGTATGTTCTAATTTGCCTTTCACTGAAAATGATCACTTTATGTTCTTCTATTGCAACCTAAAATAAATAAATGTCAAATAAAGTGCATCTTACTTTGAAAATCTAGCATTTTCTCCTAATTATAAAAAGTGGGCCTATTATAGAAAAAGTAGAAAATACTGAGTAAAAGGGAAATTTTTAAAAAAGGTAACTATTATTAACATTCTGATATATTTCTCAGATCTTAGCACTTCTTTGGAGCATAGACATTCAAGTGATTGGAGAGAAATGGGACAGGGGAGAAGGAGGGAGGAGGAGGGAAAGGGGAGAAGGGTGGGAGAAGTGAAAGTGGGGAGAGAGAGAGAAGAGGGAGGGGAGGGGAATGAGGTGAAGGAAAGGGGAGGAGGGTGGAAAGAGAAAAAGGTGGGTGAGAGAAGGAAGGGAGAGGGCAGGAGGAGGGTGGCACTGCGTGGGGATGGGGAAGAAGGAAGGGGAAGGGAGGAGTACCTCACCCTGAAAAGACATCTATATAAGCTGTTGCTTTCACTTCCATGAGTAGGATGGGTAAGTAAATGACCCAGGGCCACCCTCCATCCTGACTTGGGAGGAGGTCACACTCTCAAATGTGGCTCATTTTTTCTTATAGATGACATCATGTTCTTACCTCTTCTGCACCATGCAGCTGGTTACAGGGTAATTAGATCCTGAGATTTGGGTTTGAAGTTAGTGTGAGGTGGAGGCCCCTTAAACTCAGTTTACCAGAGAGCTTTGCACTGGGCACAAAGGCACATACAACAAATAATAAAGTGGTACCTTATTTCACATTTGCCATTTCCCCGCCCACATATATTTTCCTTCAAGACCTTAAAGGAAGGAGCTGTGGCAGGAGGAAGACTGTTTGGGAATCTCTGGGTCTCGAGGCATAAAATTACCTAATAGTCTTCCCAAATCCCACCATATATAGTTTAGTATCTTGCTTTTATCCCTGCTTAACAACAATTTCCCCTCCGTGTCTATGAATGTAAAAATATTACAACCCATGACATACTATGTTAGTCAATCACCTATGTTTGGATATTTAGGTTGTTATAATTTATACAAAATCAGGAAGAAAATTATTGCTTTTAGCAATACCACAGCAATTTTGAGAGTGCCTTTGTTTTATTTCTGAGATTTTTGCATCCATCAAGAATGAGTATGGCCGCAGATTTACTTATACACCAGGGCCAAAACGACGACTATAATAGCGTGTACTGGCTCACTGCTTCAGAGGTTCCCAAATCGGATACATACTGTGCTTCGCCATACATCACGGATGGCAGAGACCTTAAAACTTCTACATGGACTGCAACATCCTTATTGCATCTTAGAACACCTACTAAAGTATTTAGCCCCTTCCAGCTGTATATTTTTCAATATTAAAGGAACTCATGTCATTATAGAATATTTGCAAAATAGCAGAAATGCAGAAAATAAAAATCATTCAGAAGCACACTACAGGAAGATATGCCCTATACACAGATTGGTGTATTTCCTCCCAGTCTGTCTCTTGAATAGGTTTTATCACAAATTCTTGGCTTAAATCAAAAGGTGAGTTCAAGTTGAGTGCGTGTAAGAAGCTAATTGGAAAGACAGCTTACTGGTATCTTTACCTTTTCAGTTTAAGCGGCGGCGGGGGGTGGGGGGCCAGGTGCCAAGGATTTTTGAATCAGTAAAGCTGGAATTCAAGAAACGCAAGCGGTCTGTGGGAGATGCTTCAACCACCTAGGCTAGTGGAAGGTGGATAAAGCCGGGAAACTCGTTGGGCTCGCATATTTGTTGGACTGCAGTTTTGTCCATCACACTTGCTCAGCCAATGAATGATGAGCCGACTGGTAACGAAGCTCACTGGCAAGGGGTAGGGGCGTGAGAAAAGCTTTTACGGGGTCTTCTTCCGCGCTTTTTTTCTAGTGCGCTCTTTCCTTTTGCTGTGATTCAGGGCTGAGGACAGCTGCCCCCTTCTCTGCCCCGAACCTGATCGAGGAGGTCGTCACCTCTTCCTCCGCTGCTGTCGTCGCCACCTCATCCTTTGTGAGTTCTTCCCATCCTGAATTGGGCACTGAGCGTCCGCGGTAGTCACTCTAAAAGTTTGCTCTTTTCCTTTAACATGGCCGACTCAGTAATGAGGGGCTTTCGTAAGTAGTAGCAGAGGCTGCTGAAGAGGCAATGGAAGAAACTGTTGAGTTAAGTGAAGAAATGACAACACAGATAGTCACATGATTCAAATGCCCCATTCTGCCGAGGTCTAGCGATACTGGTGTCCTTGCCCTCAAAAAGCTTCAGGGCCGTGTGATTAGAAGCCGGTTTTGAAATGGAATTGCAGGCTCTTGAAAAAAAGTATAAACTCTCACTTGATGAGATGTTTGTGTCCACCGGCACATGTATTAGGACAACCTGCAGTATAACAACTTCTATACACTTAGGCATTGCTTTAAATTTTATGTGGTGTGTTTTTCGTAGAGTATATTTTTTAAATTAAAAAATGAAATATTTAAGTATTAAAACACATAGCATTTAGAAGTATACTTTTGTTCAAGAGATGCAGAACACAGCAAATTCTCTAAGGCATCTTTGTTTATTGCTAGGTAGTTTAGTCCTTATGGTGTCTTTTTGTCATATAGCTTTTAGAGAATAACTGGGAAAATTATCAGAACTCTTCACTGAAGCTGATAACTACTTGGGGAAAAACACGCTTTAGTGTGTGTCTTGCCTCCAGCTCAGAAGTAGGAAGAGTTTAAGTCAACTTGCACCAGGTGTGTCTTCAGTATTGTGCTATAAAAATGACTTACTTATTATGCTCTGGTACATTACAAGATATTATCACTTGGATAAATAGCATAGAGTTAAGAATTTTCAAGAACAAAGTCTCCTAGATTATGCTTTTGAATTTTGCATGATGCAGGGATTTATAAAGAGAAAAATAAACATAATGAAGCTGTTATTTCCCTCTGTGGTGCTAATAAAAGTTATTGCTGTAAGTGTCTCTCTCATAGGTTACTCATGAGTTATGTAAAGTAAGGTGATTAATTTTTTCACTATGCATCACTGAAAGTTGTCACTTTATTCTTTTATTTCATCTTCTTCTGATTATGAAATATGTTCTTTATAGAAAATTTGGAAAATATACTACAAAGTAAAAATATTATTTTAAATAATTCTGCGTCCAAAGATAGCCACAGTTTATGTGAAAAAGTAATATCTATATTTATCTTTATTAACATGATAGCTACTCTTCTATCCCTTTCACTTTTCATTTAGTATATTTTGGGACCCTTTCTATATTAATGCACGTAAACCTCATTTTTTAAAACATATATTGAATGGATATACCATAATTTATTTCATCAGTTTCTTATGATGAGCACTTCGTTTAGAAGCATCTTTTTCTAATTGATTAGTAATTATAAGCGCTGTCTTTGCTGAAGGAAAAATGTTGCATATTTTGAAACACTTTCCCTTTTGATTTTGTTCAGTTTTTTTCTTTTTCCCTGCCAAAGAGTTTTAATATTACTATAGTCACCTTTATCTTTTTCTCATTATGGATTTTGAGTATGGCTTAGAAAGACCTTTCCACACCAAGATTATTTTTCTTAATTATTCATGTTTTTTTACAGTACTCTTATAGTTTCATTTAAAGCTTTAATCTTTCTGGAATAGCTTTGATGTAAAGATTGAGGCAGCTATAACACTTTTTCTTCTTAATGCAACTAACCAGTTGTTTTAACACCATTTACTCAATATTGAATATCCAATGTAATTGATTGCTGCCTTTATTATATAATCCATTCCCTAATGTGTTTGGACCTATTTCTGGACTGTTCTGTTCAGAAGTGTTATTCTTGCGCCAGTATAAATCTTTTAAAATATAAACTTCTCATATACATTTTATCTGGTGAGAATAATTCCTTATAAAATTTTTAAAGATTTTTTTTGATATTTTCATATATTTATTTTTCCACATAAACTGCCGTATCACTTTTTTTCAGGCTCCCGCCCCAAAGCCTATGGATATTTTGATTGGAGTTTGTTTGAATTTATAGATTCATTTACAGAGAATCAGGAATTTCATATTATTCAGTTTTCTTATCCAAGGATAAGATGTCTTTCTATTTAATCAAATCTTGTTTACTTCCTTCAGCAGAATTTTCAAGTTTACCTGTTAAAATTGTTAAAATTTTCAAAAATATTTAGAACCTGTTCCTCAGTTTCTTCTTCCTTTGTCTGCCTTTTGCTTATGCTATTTTGCTGCTTATTTTTAAATTGTCTATGCTTAGGCTTTCTCCCTTTTTTTCAGCTTTGAATGGGGCCAACTGTTTGCTGAAGTGTGATGTGTGAAGATGTCAGAGGAAATGAGCTTAAGCGTCTCAGGAGCTTCAATTCAGGTTTGTCTCATATCATTCTCTCTCCAAATTGTAATATCTTCTGCTGGAGGCCGTTTCTCTCCTCGATTTATGGTGGTCTCTCCTTCCTCAGCCCTCATCATCGCCAGCTTTGGAATGAGCAGTAGGTCAGCATGACTCACTGAAATGCCTTGAGTTAGAGGTGTTCTGTGGGGATCTTGTAGTTAATTTCTGCTCAACTGACTGGCCTGCATGTGTAGAGTTGCTTGTTGCTTGTCTCTCTCCTCATATTGAAGCAGTCTCCAGAGGCTCTCAGAAAAGGAAGATGATTTGCTGGTATAATTTCTCCTTTACTTCCGCTCCCCTTTTGTTTTGTGTTACGGAGCCGTTTTCCTAAGAGATCATTTCTTGATGCTTTGACTGTCTACCACCGGCCTAAATCAAATATTCAGGGCTTGAAGGCTTAAGGGAGTCTGTCTGCTGCCTGAGACCTGTGAAAGCAAGCGTTGACTCAGAGTCCTGCACTTTTTTGGTTCAAATTTCATTGTAACTGGAAGATATTCTTTCCAATGTGTGGCTTGGAATTGTGGCTATTTCTTTGACTTGAAGATCATTTCTGCCTTTATTTTTTATTTAGATGATTCTGATGCACAGGCAGGATTGAGAACCACAAAGCAATGTAGAGGGGAATCTCCAAGAGGGGAGTATGTAGTGTTCAGTTTATTAACAGTTCTCCTAACTGAATAGTATTCCTGAAATAACAGTTTGGTGAATTTGGCTTTGGCCAAATAGGTAAATTAGCCCAGCTTCGTCTATTGGTAAAAGCATCCTTAATCAACATTTTAAAAGACTTTTTATTTAGAGACAATTAAAGACTCACAGAAAGTTGCAAAAATAGTACAGAAAGGTCGTGTGTACCCTACACCCAACTGCTCCTAGTGGTAACACCTTGCATGACTGTAATACAATAACCAAACCAGGACATTAACATTGGGACATCTACAGACCTCATTCAGATTTTGCCAGATTTTGCCTGCATTCCTGTGTATGTGTGTGCATGTGTGTATCTCTGTGCAGTTTTACCACATGTTTAGATTCATGGAACTCCCACTACAATCAAGATTCAGAACTGTTCCATGACCACAAAGAAACTCCCTCGTACTAAGCTCCTCCCTCCTGTCCCTAACTTCTGGAAACCATTAATTTGTTCCCATTCTTGAAAGGAAAAAATTATACAGATGGTTATATAAATGAAATTATACAGTATGTAACCTTTTGAGATTGGCCTGTGTTCGCTTAGCAAAATAACCTTAAAATCCTTCCAAGTTGTACCTGAATCAATAAGTTGTTCTTTGTTTTGCTAAGTAGTATTCCAGCGTGTTAATCACTGATCTGTGACTATTCTATTGGAGAATAAAACCAGGTGGAAAGGAAACAGGACTGCCTGTGGCCAGAACCTCCTGTAGGGACAAAAGAACGAATTACAAGGTTTTCTTTCCTAAAATCTGAAAGCTTAATAGTATCAATAGAAAGTGCTTATGCAATGCTTGCTATGCACCAAGAATATACAAATTATTATTCATGTAATCCTTACAGCCTTATGAGGTAGGTACAGTTATTGTCTCTAGTTAACAAGTGGGGAGACTGAGGTACTGAGAGGTTAAGTAACTTGTCCAAGGTCACACAACTGGTAAGTGACAAAGCCAGGCTTTAAACGTGGTAGTCTGGCTCAAGTCTATGTTCTTAACTGCTCTATTATACCACCTCTCTACCATGTATACCACCTCTCTGCATGCTATGTCACCTAGAGAAACACCTTCCTTGTCCATATTCCAGACTAGATAGGGCCCATGGGAAGCAGCTGAGAGGAAATAAGTATAACCTGGAGGCAAAGGGGATGCCCGTCTATAGAGGAAAAATAAGAATTTCATCTTATCTAGCAGTGGTGCCCCCTGCATCTACTTGTAGTTCATGGTGGAATAACTTTATCAGGGTTTATAGCTTAGTGAGACCACAGGGTAGGGGTTAGACTCCAGGTCATATTCATCATACACAGGGGTGTGATGAGAACTGGCTTAGTAAATTTACATTTCAATTAAATGGAAGGTGATCCATTACTAGTAAAGATTTCTTTTGCCTTTCCAACTTCTTATATTTTTATTCCCTGTTTTCCTGTAGTTAGCAGCTTTTAAATCAATAGATGTAAGAAGGGAAAGAAGCTGAAAAAGTGATTTACTCCTCAGCATCCTCGAGCAGAACCCAAAGGGACATTTACAGGAATTGGGCATTGTAGGGGATGAAAGCATGGATTTGAAGTCTAATAGACTTCGTATTGACTCCCACTTTTGCCACTTATTGGCTGGGTGACCTTAATGCAAGTCGTTTAAGCCCTCTAATCCTCTTTTTTCAGATCTCTAAAATGGGACTGTTACCTGACTACTTCATAGAATTATTGTAAGGCTTAAATGTGGTACCGTTCATCAAACACGTAACATAGTTTAGCGTGAAGTAACCATTCAAATGATAATTATTGTTATTGCTATAATTAAGATGAGTGAGTTTTACTTGGAATTCCAAGTAAAATATCATGATGATAAAGATGTTAAAATTGGTATTACCTCTTCCAAGCCTGTCTGTTTTCAAGGAAAAAAACCCCTTTCTTTCATGGATTTCATGTAACTGTTCTTGTTCTTTCTTTGGTTTTTTTCCTCCTCACATCAATAGCTCTGCACTGATTCCTGGTAAGCACCTTACTTGCCTGCATCATCCCTGTATCTTCAGTCTTTCAAGGTCATTTTGAATTTTTATCCATTCCTCGAAAGAGCCAGTACTCTACCCAATCCGTTGCCTGACCAAAAGTCTATGACATAAACTCTTTTTTTTGGTAATGTTGAATACAACTGGACCTTTTCCAGACCCCAGATGCCCATTTCTATGTACGATAAGGATTTATAAACTATTTCCCTTGTGGAATGCTTTCCACAACCTCTTCTAGTTTGGGCCAGGATAGTAGCAAGGGACACACAAGACCGGTCAGTGATTTTCTTGCCATGGTTTCTAAAAATGTTCTTTTGGCCAGGGAATTTGTTTTTAAGAGTTGCTTGCAGAAGTTTAAGAGAACACAAGAGGTGAAAGGCAATGAACGGCATACCAGATAGCATCTACTTAAAACATATTTACTGCACCCCATACGAAATGAAATTTGAGGAAGGTAAAAATCTCTCGTGTAGTATTTTCCTTAAACTGTCACCTCTAAATACAAATTTAGGTAAAATATCACAATGTTAGATCTGCTGAAATTGTTATTAATTCACACCAACCTGTCTTGCTTTAAGGGAAAACATCCCTTTAAATGCAATAACAAAATAAAGATTATGGGAAGAAGATGCATTACTTATAATTATTTAGGTGTAATCCAAGTTTTAATAGAGTTTTTCAGTCTTTGTGTTGAAAGACATTTAAAAAATGCACCAGGATAAATAAATGACTTAAAATTTTTTTTTGTTATTTTTGGCTGGGTTCAGGATGCAAGGAAAGCATTTCAACAAGTGTAATATACTTTTAAATATTGGAAAAGTTGAATTTTCACAGCATAATTACCATATCAGTGAGTTGCCAGTGAATTGTTTGAAATTCTTTTTGCAAAGACTACAGCTGTTTTAATTAGGCTAAAGAGCTAGGGAAAGAACATAGCTATTTTTCAAAATCTGTATAGATGAAGAGGCTTTAGGAAAATGAATCCTGACTTATTGCAATTGGATCTATACTAATGGAACAATCTTTAAGCAACATGCGGGAAAGTATCAGAAAATTTCTCTACTTTAGGGAAATCTCCGGCTGATTTTCTGAACAGCAGTTTTGGAAATGTTAGATCTTTTCAAATGTTGTGTTTAGGTTTGTTTAGTTTGTGTTATTGAATATTCCCACATGTATAATTATTAGTGATAAAAATAACTTTTCAAGACCCAACAAAACAAATGCTATCTATTAAACTACATGCTTGAAGAAGTATTAACCCATTTCAAGATATTTTCATGAGGAAGCAAGAGATTACAAATGGTATTGGCATACCTCAATTATCAAAATATTTATATTTGAGAAGAGAATATTTAATTGTTTTATTTGGTACAGAAACACTTATTTGATATTAAATATGGCTTAAGTCTCTATATTGTCCGAATATTATCAATTTTTTGTAAACAAAAAGTGCGTATAGTAAAGTGCAGTAGTGTCAAAGTTTTGATACTCAGGGCAGATTAAAAAATTTTCATACACCAAAAATGTATTTGGTGATTTTTAAAAATATCAGAATTTGTTGATGTTTAAGATCCTTTACTTGGCCTGTTTTCTCTATCCAGCAACCTGCCTTGTGATACTTTTCCTGAGGGTATCTTGTATCTAAGGAAAAGTAGAAGAGAGAATAGTGGGTGACATACCTCATTCAATTTTAGGATCTGTCTTGATATTCTCAATTTAAAACCATACTAACACCATTTACAAAACAATGTATAAGATGAATGACAAACTTAGGAGAAAACTATTTGTAAAAGAAATGAATAGGCAATTCAGTAAAATATGTATTTTATGTCTGTTAGCCTTTTGGCTAATAAATATGAAAAATGGGCACCTGCACTACTAATGAAAAAGATGAAAATTAAAATAACAATGAGATACTGTTACTTACCTGTTTTGCTGGCAAAATTAAAATTTAAGAACGCCCATCGTTGTTCCATAATGTGAAGTAAATGCCCTGTCACATGCTGAAAGCGCAAAAGTAAAATGGTACACATTTTCTGGAGTACTATTTGGCAATACTTAACAAAAACCTTAAAAATATGCATATTCTTTGACCCAGAAAATCTTCAAGGAATTTACCTCAAGGAAATAATAGCAAAAATCAATGATAAGAATGTTCCTTTCAAGAAAAAAGAATGTTCATTTTGGTGTTGCTCATAATACTAAAATGTCTGAAAAAATTTAAATGTCCCAAGAGATGGAATTCAATTTATGTTATTGTTTATTCATACAGTAGATAATGTAAA